TCAAATGAGGAGTGTGCCTCACTTTGTTTAATGAGTAAGCTGATTTAAAAAAAGAGAAGAAGGTGTTCATTCAGACAACATTAAGGGTAAAAGAGTACTAGATCAGTGGTTCTCAACTGGTCAAGCCTCAGGACGCACTTTTTTCCTTCGTCAATAAATCGTGACCCAAAAGTGCGTCGCGATTTATTGACGAAGACCCACCAGTTGAGAACCACTGATCTAGATTATCTCATTGTTGCTCAAATAAAATTAAGTGCTTCGAGATTTGTCTTGGCAGATGAGAAGCGCTATATAAATTAAATGTATTATTATTATTATTATTAAATGAGGTTTTTTGGCTCCATAAACCTACAAAGAAGACAACAGGCTAAAGTCCATGCATCCAAACTTCCTTTCAGAAACCAATAGCTCCCTTAAGACTGTGCTTACGAGCCATGTAGGATATGTACCGTACTTCTTCAGACATAAAAAACAAGCAAATGTAAAACCCAAGATCTGACCTTGCAAACATTGTCAAATCTAGATTCACTAGAAAAAAGGTCATAAATCATGGTTTAGTGGTACCCGCAGTAAACTTATTATAACACTTCTGTGATTGAAGTCTTCCCACAGCGTATAAGGGAATACTGGTGGATTTATTACAGCTTTATGGCACGAGGCTTACGACTTAATTAGTCTGTGATTTGAAGGTATATCACATATTCACAAACATATTTTAGAATGGGTCGGAGACAATGTTTCTCTTAAAGTATCTGTCCAACATCAAGGCCAGAGCACTGTACAGACTCACGTATGATCACAGAGCAGTGGCTGAGGAAAGGTCGACCCCCCCCCCCCTATTTTGATGTGAGTAGGCTCTGTGCCTGCCTCCATGGCCTCCAGCTGACCTCCCTCTGCCTGCAGACAGTACACTTAACATAGCTACCCCCACCTGTAGAGATGTCTGAAGAACAGGGCCCACTTCAAAGCCGTGCAGTGATTGGACCATGATTACCATGGGCACTTGACTCATTTCATGTCCTCTGGAGGACTAAACTTTAGGAGAATCGGGCATGGACACATGGAATTCTTTCAAAGGAGATTGGAGATTTACTGTAAACCCATTTGGAGAGATTTTTAAGGGCCCACAAGATGATTAATGTTATCTTTTGTTTTGATTCCTGTTCAATTATACCAGAGGAAAAACACACCATTGCTGCTGGGTTCCTCTGGTGTAAAATACATTAGTGTTCTAATATTGCTACCAGTGTTTTTTTTAACATGATAACTTATGAGTGTAACACTTCCGTTATAGGTTTTTGAAGAAGTAGCAGTTGGTAGTTTGTAGTGGGCAACTTGCACAGATGTTGCAAAGGAATGTTCTTTTGTATCAGCAGCACTTTGATAAAGCAGCATTGCCAGAGTGACATAAAAGCCCAACTGGGTTCAACAACAACCGTCATCTCTGCTCTTCTTTTCTGTTGCTAAATGCCAAATGACAGGAACAGAATTCTCTGTGGTACCTGATCAGGTGCCAAGCGCCCTCTCCCCTGTGCCCTGCTGCACTGAAGCCCTCCGTGGAGCTGGCATGGCATGGCACGGCCTGGCTTGGCCTGGGAGCTACGGGCCCTGCTTTATAGCTCTGCTCCGACTATTCAGGCTGTCTCAAAATCAGACTCGACTGCTGTCTGCTGCCCGTCTTGCAGACCCAAGTGAAGCATTCAGAGCATTAATAGGTGCCAGAATAAATTGTAATGTGAGGGCAGCAAACAAGTTGATTTGACGTAAATCATCATCTTCCAAATGACCAGGTGGCACAGTTCATTTCACGAGGGTTGTACCCAGCTCAAATATAATCTGATATTAATGATAGATTACAGGTTATATTATGTAGGTCTTTGAAAGGAGGGATATGATTTTAAAAATACCATAGCAATGGCTTAGTGGCCTCACCATCTTTACAGGCAGGCGTAGTAGATATTGTAAACCAGGCCAACAATACAAAATAACGTAGCCTATATGGGCACCAGAATTAGACCAGGCAGTGTGTTTGCAGTTATTGTGTGGTTTTCCATTTTTTAAGATAAACAGATAGCTTAAAGCTGTGATCTACTTTGTGACATGAAGCTGTTATGTATTAAATCACCATCTACATGTTAAGCCATCTGGCCCAAAAGACATGTGATGATTAATATTCCATGTCTGTAAAAAAAAAGGACCAATAGCCTTCAAGGCTTTATAGCCTCAATAAGCTAATATTTGTTTTAGGATCCATCACAATAGACTCTGTCTTAGATTTATATTACATTGCTACTGTATGTTCCCACATCACAAAGGTCTGTGACTAAGCACACAGACTGAAGAACATCCATGTTTACAGCATTGAACTCCGGCTTCGATCTCATCACAAACCGTCGATGAGATGTGTGGTCTCGATGCATTTTTTCTTCGTCTTAAAATAAGAAGCTATTCGCACGGAAACTGAAGTTGAATGCATCGAAGCACGTACTCGCATAAAGGCAGGTGCACCTGTCTGCAGTGGTAGCCTATTGTGTTCACTATGGAATAAGCCATGAATCGGTCTGTAGCTGTGTATGTGGAAACAAATCAAAAGAAAGCAGGTCTGTTTCTTACCGTTGTGTTTTCAGTCATTACTCCCCATCGTAAGGTTTTCAGTCCAGACCTCTGACGAAACGTTAATTCCTAGCAGGCTGTCTCACTCTCTCGCTCTCTCTCGCTCATCCCCATGTCATATTTCTCCGCTGCAGCAGAACAAAGACACGCCTCCTCCGACAGCCGCGGCCACGTGACGTCAGCCGGTGGAGACGTCGGGCTCACGCGCTCAGACACTGACGGGAGGGAGCCGCGAGAGGCCGCTGTACCTTCACAAAAAAAACAAATCACTTCATTTTGATTTGATTTTTTACCAAAGTCTGAGTTATGTCATCCAGTGGCTTAAGACTTTATATTCTTTATTTATTTTTAAAAGTATTTGTTAAATGTAACACTGGGTTTGAGTCTACAATTAACATTAAGATTGTTGAAACCTAAACATTATACAAATTATTTTTTATTTATTTGCATTTTAAGAAATTATTTGATTACAAGGCATACATTATAAAATAAACACTTACAACTCAAAAAATTAAACATTATTCTTTTGACAAACAATAAAGTTCCTAAATAATTGGCCTACATGAAACAGGAACATTGGCCTTAGAAGTCTGATTTATTTTTGTGTTGATAGAGTTTCCCTTTAACTTAAAATAAACACAATTTAAAATGTGTAAACTAGCCTAGCCTACTATAAATCCAATGTATATTAACTATGTAAAGGTTGACTAACCTACCAACATTTAGCTAAATCTCTTATAGTCAGGGGTGCACATAACTTTTTTGCCCTGGTTCTCAAAGGAGCACCTGGAGATGTTGCTTGGTGCTCATCCTTAAAATGAAATAAACCGTAACTTTTGAGGGGGTCTTGACTTTATTTGCCAGACACACGGCACTGAACACACATGCAGAGGTGAACACAGAACACAAATGCAGAGGTGAACACAAGACAACATTAGCACGAGCAGTAATCCTACAAGCTGTCATCACTCCCTCCTGACTGTTCTCCTCACTGTCTTCCTCTCTGTCAGACATGGTAGCTAATGATGTAGGCCTACTTCTTTCTCTCTGGTTGAGTCTGTGATTAGATGCTTGCATCCACAAGTCAACAGCTGGTTTTGGGTCGAAAGTCTCTGTTGTCATCTTAGACAAGTGGATGTAATCAAATAAGTATGTGAACATAACCAATAACCTACCATAGCCAATAACAAATGAATGTAACTTATTTTATTTGTGTTGTTCATTCATATCTTATTTTACCTTAACATTTAGTTATGCATTTTTTTTTATCTCTCCAGTTTTAAAGGATATTTTTGGTTACTGTCCTATAGTATACATTGGAATGATTTAAAACCTGTTTATCCCAATAATTATAAAGGAGTGCCTTGGAAATATGTGTTTACATAAATTGCGACCAAACCGTTTGAACTTAGACTTTACCTCACTGAGCTGTAGTTATCAGTCTGAATGGAGAGGACTCTCCCTCCACATTATTGTAGAAACATCTTCTTCTTATATCCGTTAGAGCAGCTAGCACGGCACCAGATTATAATAACAACAGCGCTGGTACCGGTGCACCCTCCCTCGCTCACTCGCATTTTGGCTGTGAGCTGCGGGCGCCAGATAAGCCAACATCCCCCATTTTCATCACTTACAGCGCCCATCGTACAGGGCAAATGAAACGTGTAACCGGGGTGAAAAGGGTGTTACATTTACTTAATTATGAATATTGTTACATCAAGGCCGAAAATTAGGATGAGCCCCAACGGTCAAAATGTTTTTTTCCCTCCCAGAACTGCCAGCGCAGCGCCTCCACAGATCTGGTGCCCTAGGCGAACATCTAGCCAGCGCTACGGGCCGACCCTGAGTTCATATCATGGTTCATACATGTATGCAACTCGCAAATATCTTTCTCTCTCTCTCTCTTCTCTCTCTCTCATCTATCCTCTCTCCTCTATTTTCTCTTTTCTCTTCTCCCTTCTCTCTCTCCCTCTCTCAATGTTGGTACGCAAATGCACTTTGTTTCAAATGACCCGGTGCTCTTTTTTTGGCGGAGGTGCGCATGCGCACCAGTTATGTGCAGCCCTGCTTATAGTTATACAATGTATGCATTTAAGGCTACACCTTTGGACACCTGTTTTATTTTTAACTGATGTAAAACAGACCATTACTAACAAAATATACCGGTTTTTAGTACATTTAGTAGCCTATAGCTTATTATCATGTATGTTGGTTTGTCAGAGCTGTGTTTCAATCTTTTGAAAACAGAACTAGTTACTGCTAAATGATCTGTGTTTGTTAAGGCTATTCACTGAAAATGGTCCATCTCAATGTAGTGTGCCCATAGACTGTATGATTGTGCCACAGGAACTGGGTTGCTCTCTCTTTTTTCTCCTGGGATCGTTTACTAAACGCTGACCGCAGTCCACGCTCATTGTCCAGCGCTTCACTTGAGAGAACTGGTCCTGCAAGTTGTTTCTGAGCTGGAGTCAGAGAGCCTCACATCGTCGACCTGCTGCACGGACACTGCGGATCTCTCCTGACTGATAGTGATTTTTCTCGCCTAATAAGTAAACGTCTCTTGGGGAACAGCCATGCGGTCGGTCACTGCGTTTCTGATCTTCCTGTGCTGTGTGGGATTTATTGGATGTAAACCCTCATCGCCCTGTCCGCGGGGACAGTTTCTACTGAAGAGCCAGTGCGTCCTCTGCCATCCCACCTGCTCCGAGTGCGACGGCCACGAGCTGTTTGAATGCACTACCTGTGGAGTTGGTGAGTACACATTAAAAATCCATCCACACGTTAACACGCGGAATATAATCATTGCTGGCTTTGTTATAGAAAAGAAAGGCGAAACACATACGTGTATTCAATCTTTCATTCCCCCTGTAATACGTTGCATTTTAATTATCCTAAGGCTTTAAAAAAGTAATGTTTTGTATAGTCAGTTCTACAAGGACCACACATAAATCACCAACAGCAAAGGGCTTCATCAAAGTTAGAACATATCTTTGCCATCATAGGACACATTTCTGCATTTCTCATAATGTCACTGTGTAAATATGATCAGTAGGCTACATTGCTTGCCATTGAACGATTTAATTCCTCTGTTTTGATTTAATTATATTTTTATCTCCACACTTGCCTGACTAAAAACAAAGCCGTGTCAGAGAGAATCATTAATCTCTAGCTGAAAGGGAGGTGGAGTTTTTCTTTCAAAGCAGCACTATTTTATGGTAACCATAGCAAAGTTGTTTAAAGGCTTTTTCATGATAGGAGGAGCATTCAGCTCTGGTTGACCATTTACCCTGTTAAACAGTCAGAGATTAGTTTTCTTGCACAGAGGCACCTTTTGAAATGGGTAAGAAATGAAGGTGTGATCATTTTTCTCCTGAGCTTTCACGGTGTAATCTGATCATGTTAGAATGGGGCCTTTGTTAATCAGAGACAGAGGGAAAAAAATGTCCCCTTGGGCTAGAAGTATTACTGTTGCAGTTCGCTGAGTTTAACCTGCAAGTGTCCTTTTCTCTTTCCCGAATCACAACTATTTCTTAGAGGCTACTATGTGCATTTTCACAATAGACTGTACATAGTATTCTTTTGACATTATCGTTATGCATTTTATTTTTTAACTGTATTTCAATGTTTATTTGGATGATATTATTTTATTGTGTAGACAAACACCCAAGCCAAAAGTCCCTACCCCTCTCCTCATGCTCTGTGGTTTGTTGCCATTTAGAAGTCAGATGTCTCTATGCTGAGTTTGAGTCTCCAGAAAGTGGAAGGGGTAGAAAGGCAGCAGCAGCAGCTTGTGGCCGCTCTCCTCCCTGTCTCACCCATCCTCTGTGCAGCACTGAGCAGATGAGACAATGCTGTGTAACTCAGAGGTGCCTCAGGGGCCACAGCTAGGCTAGTGGCAGGTGGCAGAGTATTAATCATTAGGGCCAACAGAAGACTCTCTGCCCACAGCTCTGATCTCTCCTCTCCCTCTGATTGCCCTTGTTTATTAGTTGGAGCATCATCACTCATGAAGTGATCTCAGACTGCGATCTGTCATTTGCAGGATTGCAGTCAACATCCTGGGCTGCAGCCATCCATTCATGATGTTGTTCATGCCTTTTAATGACTTGTGCATCCACTGTTTTCTATTTTAATAAAATATACTATGCGTAATGAATCCACAGTTTCCTTTTGATTGCAACTGATTCACTTATTAAGCCACAACATATTTATCTTCTTTCAATCAAAAACGTAACATTGTTTGCAAAGTTTATGCTGTAATGCACTGAAGGTACCAAACATTCACACTGATGGCAGCATGTCCTTTAATTTTTTATTTGAACCATCTAATCTTCTGGCCCATTTGGCTCTACCTCTGTATTTATCACGAGAAGCTCATTGACTTTAACTTTCAGAAGAATGCAGTTTTTTTGGAAAAGGTGTTTTCTGGAAGAGTTCCGCATGGCTGATGGCATATTTATCAGAGAAAATAGAGTACATTTGATCTTAACAAGTCCCCTGTGCCTCCTCTTCCTCAGATGAAGATGGACAGGAACGTTTCCTCCACCAAGGTCGCTGTAGGACGCACTGCCCCCGGGGACTCTACCCTGACAGGGGTCACTATGCTTGCCTGCCCTGCATAGCCAATTGTGAACTCTGTGCGGATGGCAACATATGTGCCAAATGTCGGGAACACTACAAACTCCAGAATGGGGTCTGCCAAACGGCGTCCTGCAATACAGGTACATGTAAATCACAGATTCGGAGTTGGCTGCAGCTTAGGAGAAAGACATTCAGTGTCATAATGCTGGGTGTGTTTCAGGGCAGGTGCAGGACCCTGATACAGGAGAGTGCATCGACTGTGAGATGGGATGCAAAACATGTTCCACCGGTAAGTCACACATCTATGCTGTATGAGGCCAACAGCACCATGCTGTTTCCTTCTTTATATAAGGTGGATTGGCTTTGTATTTTTAAACCATTGTTATAATGTGCACAATGCTAGTTGCTTTTCCCTATGAATTCTAATAAATCACATTTTCTCATGTTTACACAGAGGACCCTGGGATCTGTAGCAGCTGTGTTGAAGGTTACTTCCTGTGAGTTTACTGTGTCAAATGCTTCTAATGTTATATTTTTTAATAGCTAGCTTTCATTTCATTTTAAGGCTACCACTAACAATGGACCGTTTGACTGTTTCTGTTATTACTTCTGTTATTTTATAACATTGACAATCCTATGATTTATGAAATGTCCAACAATAGAAATACATACCCATTGTAATGTCACACACTTTGACATATGCTTGTTCTGTCTCAACCTCAGTTCAAAATCCAAAGTTGATTTGTTTTACATTCATGGAAGACGAAGAAAACTCAATTGTTTTTTTTTTCATTGCATAAAGAGTCAATATGCATTATGTGGGTTGATTTACAATGCCTTCCTATACATTCTGTTGATATTCTTGACGCCACACAACTACATTTCACCATGTGTTTACTCCAGATTGTCACTTGGACGAACAGTGTAACAGGTTACAGAGGTAGAACAGACCTTCAGTTGTACTTCTCCCCCGAGTTTTGGCCTCCTGGTATTGTGTGAGTCAGGTTACCTTCATACTCTGTTACCTGAGCCTTGGTTTGAGCACAGAAGAGTGGTCTGCCTCACAGAGATACTTAACAGGGTGTGTTTTTATGTTATGTGTGTGAAGGAGAGCTGAAGAGAGAAGAAGAGAGCAAGTATAAGTGGACAGCATAGCAAGTATTGGCTCTGATTATATAGGATGGACCATCTCGACTTTACTGACCACTCGTGTGAATCACAGTGGAGAAAATCCACCGCTTCACTGCCCTCCCCTCCTCTAACTTCCATTCGGTTCTATAAGATACTATTCTTATGTGAATCTACTTGTCAGGAGTTTTACTTTAACAGTAATGATTTTTAGAGATTAGGACCTACAGGCTGTCTCAGTCATTTCTTTGTCTGTAGTAATATGTGAGGCGAACACTAATACAATACGTCCAGTGGTGCATGAGGGGATCGGAGCTGCAGGAAGAGCCTCACTGTGAAAGATTGTGACAGTTTCCCAGCACTTTAAAGTCCACTACTGAGGTTTTGCTGGTATTAATGAAAAAAGGCAGACAGCTTTGGCTGCTTTCACTGCCTACTGCGTCACAGCATAATGGATGGATGGTATCTTTCTTCTGAAACCGAGAAATTGCTGTTATTTACTCTCAATAGGATTTTTACCATTTATTTAATCCAGTTTTCTTAACTTTAAGGACCACATTCAGCATATTTTCACCCTTTTCTCACTGATTTGAGGAGTTAAAGCCCTACACAAAAGTTGCTTAGGTAATGATGATGTGCTCTCCTGGAATGGATGGTCTAATATTTGCACAGAGGGATTCTTAAACATCCTGCAGACTCTTAAGAAGTGCACTGTTTCCAGGCCAGAGACAGGGCCGGGTCTGCACCAGCTGCTATTGTAAGTGAGTTGATGGATGCTGGCGTCTCCAGCTGTTCCTCCTCAAACACCCACCGCATCTTTGCACCAAATCCACGGCAACCCAGCAGGAAGTGCAGCATGGGCTGTCAGTGGTCAGATTGTCTCATGAGGGGAGGATGTTGGATGTTGTACGCTGTAAATTAGTGGCTTACTTCTGTTTGGCTTGTTTAATTTGGAGAGTTAAGTCTGTAAAGTAGGAGTCATTCTTGCTTTTGTGTGTTTGACATCTTTGCAACTCAGTATCTCATCTCCTTTAGGCTAATTTATTTTTTAGGACATCCGTCTCATGTTAAATAGCTCAGTTAGGCCCGAAGGAATGATAGGACAGGTTAATGACAGAAAATCTCCTCATGCCTCTGGGCTATAATAAAACACCAATTAACTTTTTGCCTTAAGAAGAGAATAGAACTATGATAAGCTTGAAAAATATCAGCCTACATAATGTTCCCGTCTCTGTTTGCTGTCCGTACTGATGATTGAGTGCACCTTTTGACCAACGCCTGGATTATATTCAACAATACATCTGCAGGTGTGCTGTGGACTGACACAGTGCATTCTCTGCCTCTTGCGTGTGGTGTGTTTTGTCTTTCCTCTGGTTTCACTTCCTCCAGCCTCAGACTTCTACATGTGGGCTAAACCTGCCTGCAGAAACATCATCCTTCATTGACTGTAAAGCTTTGAAAGTGCCATTAAATCATAATAGTTTTCATCAGGTCTTTGATATTTCAAAAAGCTTTGTTCTGCATGTTTGCTTTAGAAAAGACACCCTCCTTTTGTAAAAAAGCTGTGACGTCCCGTTTTAGTTAAAGGTCACCTATTATGCAAAATCATGTCTTTTATACATAAACGTGTGTCCCCTCTGTGTAAAGAGATTCTGAAAGTTTCAGGAAAAAAGATTAGCTCACTTTTTGTCCTGATCCATTTATATAAAAACCTGTCTGAAAGTGAGCTGATCAGATTTTGGCCACTCTGTGATGTCATGCAGATGTTTTGGCTTGTGTAACCAATAACCAACCAAGGTAACACCCCCCCCCCCCACCTTATCACCTGAATCTCCTCCTAAAGCACCATTGTGTTCGTTCTAACCAAATATCAGAGGGGCGTGGGGAGTGGCTCCTTATTTTCATCTAAAGTTAAAGACAGAAAATGAGCACTTTTGAAACAGGGCTGAAACAGAGGGGTTTATGGGATGCTACAATGCACGATCTGTTTGATATTTCGAGCACTTCAGAGACATGTTTTATATATATCTGAGACCTATAATATATTGATGAAAAACAGTTTAATAGGGGACCTTTAACCATTTATTTACTGATCTCACACACGTAGACCAAGCCTAGTTTTAGACAAATGGTTTGTTAATTGTTATGTATTATCAGTAAATAGTTTGAATGGTGTTATTTTTCTCTTACAGCTTTAGACATCACTGTCGCAGACATTGCCCCCAGAGCACCTATGAGGACTGGGGCAGGGGTGTGTGTCTGTCCTGTCCCGCACCATGCTCAGACTGCAGGAGTAACACACGCTGCCTCGCCTGCCAGCCCGGCTACTTCCTCAATGGTAGTAGAAAAGAATAATCGTTTTTCTGCATATTTTGTTTACTACTAGAATGCCCAGGGGTTCATATGAGCCTTTTGTCCTGCACAGTACTTAAAGAGTTTAGGGTTTATTATTGACTTAAATCACTGTGTATGTCAAAGTGATCAATCATTCTTCTAGATTACAAATGATTGGACTCTTGACTCTTCATTTGGATTGCAAATCACGTCCGTGTCAGCAAATCTGTAACATGAGATACTGTATGCAAATATAAAGTATGCAAATGTAGAATTAGGATTGTGTTGTTGGGTCGTGTTCCCTTTGGGCATGAAAGTAAACGCTTTGAAATTGTAAGTAAAGCCTGAAGCTATTAAAAAAAGATTAGCTTGCACACAACTGCATTATCACAATTATTTGAATATGATCAGGTTTATATTTTATGGGCAGAGGCGTTCAGAGACTTTCTTCTCTGTGTCTGTTCGACTAACCAAATGATCTGTATCTGTGTTATGATAGAAGACCATGGTGTGGTGTTAAAGAAATTGATTATAGAATATATTGATCATCCATGTTAAACATTAGTTTGAGAGCTTTTTTCTGCAATAATTTAAAATCCTATTAAAAATTCCATTGGCTCTTTGTCAAGGGAAGCAGTGATGCAACTTCCGGGTCGTCTTACAAAAATACTTCATCGTTGCTCCACTCTATTTGTTTCTAAATGACATGAACTTATCTTTTAAGTCACTGTCCCATATTTAAACGATTCATATAATTGTGGTGGTCATACACAATTATACGAATCTAACCCATAATAATGTGCTCTATTTCCATTGCATTTGTGTTTTTCCAAACATGTATTTGGATCTGTATCTGTTGTCTCCACTATGTTTTTCATTAGTTCTATTTACTGATAGAGATATAATGCTATATTAGAAAATAATGTCACTTCCTCTCTGTGCTTCTCAGGAGGGGATTGTATTAAACAGTGCCCACCTCAAACCTTCAGTGACTCCACTGGGTGGCTTTGCCAGGCCTGTCACGGCTCCTGCCAGACGTGCCACGGGCCGCGGTCCTCCGACTGTAACCTGTGTCTGGGGGGGAACCCTCCTCTACATGGGCAGTGCCCTCTGATTAACTGCCCATTGGGACAATTCTATGATGGTAAGAAGAACAACCATAATAAGGCCCTATTTCAAGATGTCAACAAGCGTAATCTTTCTCAAATCGCAACCGTTTTTTGACTTAGAAGAGACAAGATATAGTGAAAGCCAAGTGATAAAGGTACAGCATGACACATGAGCGTCAGGTCACAGTGGCGTCAGAGATTCAATTGTACATGCCACTTGATTCCCTGATGGAAATAATTGCTTTTCTGTTATGGGAGGTCAGTGCGGTGTCTCAGGAATTTCGATGGTTTTCGAGTGTCTTTTAAGGACATGTTAGCATGGTGGAGGCCTGCCACTGAGACGGGGGCATGAACTCTGCTGAAGGAGCTCTAGATTGAAGGACAATCTCTATCTCACCCTGCCGCACATGTACCTCTGTCACCTTTCGTTCAACAGCCATTTTACTAGAGCTATTTCAGAAGCCTTCTCTGCCTCAAGCACAGGGCTCTTCAACAGCTTCCCCTTTGGTGTCCTTGTCAACAACGTTGGAATATAACACTCCGTAGTTATCAACTCAACAGGGTAATCATGCTGATCAATTTGCATTTTTACCCATTGGATTGAGTATCGCTGTGTAGATCAGTCAGTCTAACATTTATTGTCATCAGCTCTCGTCATTTAAACAATAATTTTCAAAACTAACCAGTGCTGACCATTGACATTTTTTTTTTCGGGGCAATGCATTGCATTGCAAGTATCTTTAACTTCTATGAGTCTTTTTTTAATAGCTTGATTATAGACATTTAAATCATCTGTGGTCAACTTCCGTTAATACATCACTCTTTTCTTTCGCTGAGTTCTGTGCAAGTTTTCGTTTTTCAGGCCAGCATTAAGCCCTCCTAAACATTTGTGTTATAATTTCTCTGTGTAACAGACCATTCTAAAATGTATTAACTTACGTTCATTTTCATCTTGTTTTAAAAGAGGGAATGTTAGTTACTCCTTTAGTAGAAGTTAACATGCTGCAGGTTTTCTGAAGGGCAGCCATCATTTTGCCAAAACAGCTTACTATGCCTCCCTCTAGTGGTCAAAGTGGGTAAAGCATACAATTCTCAAATTGCTGTGCTCAATTGCTCAGGTTAACAGGATTTGATTGTTTTAATTCTTGTAAGGGGTGGAAAAATACCTAAGTACATCAACACAAGTCTGGTATTTAAGAATAAAGTCAGGATACCTGTACTTTACATGAGTATTTTAACCAAAATTGCTACTTCTGTTATTTATTAAATGTTACTTATACTCCAACACTTTTCACAAATATTGTACTTCTTACATTTATTTTGCATATTTAGTTACAAGTTCATTTGCAAATTTAGATTTTTACGTGATCTATTTATCAAGTAATACATTATGATATAGAATATTATAGTTTGAGCTACCCAGCAGTTTATACAGTTAATAAAATAAGCCCAACAATATGGAAGGAATAAACAAATACATTTATCAATAGTTAAAAAACAATTATAATATGATTTATTAGTTGGGACATTCTAATGAATACATTCACTTGTGGTACTATTTGTTTGCTAAAATGTTGTACTATATCTGAAGTCAAATTTTAAATGCTGAACATTTACTTGTAAAAGAGTATTACTATACTGTGATATTCCTACTTTTAAGTAAAATATCTTAGTACTTTCACAACTGGTTCTGTCAACTGGGATGTTATCTTATATTATGCGATATAGTTACTCTGCTTTATTTGTTAGGACAATTCAGTGAATGCCACACGTGCGATGCATCCTGTAAGACCTGCTTTGGCCCACAAGCACTCGATTGTTCTACTTGTTTCAAAGGTACAAATATTTACCGTCTTACATGACTATGCAATCAATCATTTTCCCAGTTATTTTTCTTCATTGTGTGTGTGCATTATTACAGGGAATTTCTTGAGTCAGGACAGTTCCTGTGTAGTGCAGTGTCCATCCGGCTCTTATGCAAGCTCTGCCACTCAGCTGTGTGAGGACTGCTCTCCAAACTGTGAGTCTTGCATGGACACCAGAGATAACTGCATCAGCTGCTCCAAAGGCAGCTACACACTCTTTCTCCACCAGGGGAGGTGCTGGTCAACTTGCCCAGAGTAAGCATGTGGATACGCTGATAAGTACAATAAAGAAAAACTCTTTTAATAATGATGTGTTATTGTTAACTGCAATTTTCTTATTATGCCTTAAAATAAATCTCCTGACCTATTTCAGAGGTTTCTTTGAGACATTAGAGGGGGCCTGTGAAGCCTGTGATGTCTCCTGTTCCTCATGTGATGGGATCAAGACCCAGTGTCTGTCCTGTGCTGATGGCCACTACTTGGAAGGGGGTATGTGTAGACTCAACTGTTCACTGAGGTCCTACCCTGCAGATGATGGCACCTGCAGACGCTGTCCCCCCCACTGTGACGTGTGCTCGGATGACAGGACCTGTTTCAGTGAGTTATTTACTCTGTGGGCGGGTACGTTTTAAGGGAAAATTATGTTGAATTCAGGGGTGTCAAAACTTTTTTCACCGAGGGCCACATACAGAAAAATATACGAAGAGCTGGGCCACTCACTAGAGGTGAGGTATATTGCCTCATAAGTTAAGTTATATGTCAGTAAAATCAATCAAATGTATAGGTAAATTATGCTTAATACTTGAATATGCTTTAAGAAAAACAACAGCCTACATCACAGCTCTCCATAGGGTTTCATTTATTTTGTTAGCAGCTAATTCCTTAAAACAGGAGCCTCAGCTTACTTATCATAAGAGGAACTAGGAATGGTTTATTTCAAGCGTGTTATGAAAATAAGTTATTGGGCTTTTTTCTTATCAACTTAGATTTCATAAAAAATGTTTTCAACTTGAATTGAATGAATTCGTTTGAAGAGTGGGCTTCTTAACACATGAATACTGTGTAATGTCTCTTTTCATCTTGATTTAACCTGTTAAACCCGAGCCTGTTTTTCAGGTTTCAGGCTCGAAAATGACATGCCCAGAACAAATGACTATAACTTCACTTCTAAAAGGTTTATATGAATAATTGTTGTTATCAAAGCAAGGTTACATCTGTGAGTTGGATGTAGAAGTGTCAGAATCAATATAGATTTTTCTGTGTCAGAGTAAATTCAGATGGAACATAGCAAAAAAATGTAAATTCCTGTCTCCGCCTAAAGAAAACCCATTACTTATAGTGAAGACCAACGTTGAATGATGGGTTAGTAGCCTAAAAGCTTTAGGAATCCTAAGTATAACATATAAGTACCCTGTATCAAGATTGAGGCAAAACAAGTGAAATTTGACCTTTTTAGAGAGGTTTATGTAAATAAAGTCCAGGCGGAATAAGCTTTGGGCACATTTGGGCACATTTGGGTGCATCTGGTTCCATCAGTGCCATTTGACCTTTTTCCAGGTACCAGACTATAAAAATCATTGTATTACATTGAATCACTATAGGTATTCATTCCACCCAAAAAATAAATCCAAAAAATATTTAATTTGTTTTGTGTGCGAGTGTGTGTAGGTGTAGGTGTGTGTAGCTGTGTGTGTGTGTGTGTGTAGGTGTGTGTGTAGGTGTGTAAGTGTAGCTGTGTGGGTATGTGTAGGTGTGTATGTGTAAGTGTAGCTGTGTGTGTATGTAACTGTACCAACGCACTATACAATAAAACCACACTGTAGGTCAGTGTGTGTACTTGCACAATAAAAAAAACGGAAACATAGGTAACATTTGACTCCAACTGGGGCAGATTTATTTCAAACATTTTACCAACACACTATAGGCATGTAAAAACAAACATTTTACCAACGTACTATACAATAAAACCACACTGTAGGTTTGTAAAAACAACAAATATTTTAACACACTATACTATAAAAACACACAGCGTGTGTGTGTGTGTGTGTGTGTGTGTGTGTGTGTGTGTGTGTGTGTGTACTTGCACAATAAAAATTAGGAAACATTTGACTCCAACTGGGGCAGATTTATTTCAAACATTTTACCAACACACTATAGGCATGTAAAAACAAACATTTTACCAATGTACTATACAATAAAACCACACTGTAGGTTTGTAAAAACAACAAATATTTTACCAACACACTATTCAATAAAATCACACTAGGTATGTAAAAACAGTATTTTTTTTAAATAAACACTCTCAAAACGTTATACCTACCTGAACTTTATACCTACCTAAATGTTCCAGTATTTAGGTCGTGCCACTCCCTGAAACAGTTCTTTTTGACAGTGAAGCACAGAGGGACCTGGCACTTCCTGCAGTACACAGGTGTCTTCACCCTTTTGAGTCCAGCATCTAGGCACCTCCTGCAGTTCTTCCTGACCTTGGTGGCATCTTCCCCATAATACTCGGGCATGCATGTGAGTGGTGGAGGAGGGGGGGGTGGTGAAGGTGCAGGGCCTTCAGCAAACTCTAACAATTCTGCAGCAAGCTGCTCCCTGAAAGTCTTCTGGGTGTGTGGCTTTGTCCTGCTGGGGTCACTCCTCATCTTGAACAGCTCCTTGTGGAGAAGGAAGCTGTTCACCACTGCAATGTCCATGAAATGGAAAAAAAAGTCTTGTACCGTTTTGTGGAGAACGCCGTAGTACCCGATCAAAGCGTCGGACACATCCACGCCGCCGATGCTTTGGTTGTAGTCCACCACAGCGTCAGGAACGGGAACGTTCTTGGTTTGCCACACGCCAGCCTGTTTCACTTTCCGCTGGACCGTCTGACCGCTGAAGGCCTCGTGCACGGTGGAACACATGGACACTTCACGGGTGTCCATCCACTTTACAAACAGGAGTTTGCCTTTCCTTATCCACCGCAATTCTCCCCTTTCAGCCTTCTTTGGAAGGGCGTTCAACTGAGTTTGTGGAAAACCAACTCGATTTTTCCGAATGGTCCCACAACAGCCAATGTTTTTAGTGGACAAATCCCCAAAGAGGGTGGGGCTGGCGTAAAAGTTGTCCACAAAGAGTGTGTAGCCCCCACCGAGCAGACGGAGTGGCAGGAGGTCCATCACGGAGGAGTAGCAGAGTCCCTTGCCTTCGGTGAACTCACTCTTCCCTGTGTACACAAAAAATTCCAGGTGTATGCCGTTGAGGAATCTGCCAGCACAAACAGTTTGTATCCCCACTTTGTTGGCTTGTCTTTCATGTACTGCTTCATGCTGATGCGGGCCTTGGAAGCAACCATCCTTTCATCTATGGAAATCTTCTGATAGGGCTGGAAATGTGCTTTGCAGGCAGCAATGATGTCAGTGTACAGGGGCTTGATTTTGAAAAGTCTGTCGTACTCTGCGGTGTTCCTTTTGCGATCGTTTTCCTCGTCTTCTTCAGGGTTGCTCAGGTGCAAAGACCACATGATGGCTTCAAAGCGTTGCCGGGACATCCTATCAGATGGGAATGAGAAGTAGTACGGCCATTTCTTCCTCCAGTAGTCCGATCGTTGGTGAACGTGGACGAGGCCTGTGAAAATGATAATGGCCAGGAAAGTGTAAAAATCCCTCGCAGTCAGCACTTTCCAAAGATATTTCTTTCCTGCCTGTAATCTCCTCAGGGCGTGGGCGTTCGCAATGATTATATTAACCACGGCAGTGCTAAAGAAAAGCCTGAAAATGGAGAGGGGAGACCATGCTGCAGTGCTGTCAACGGTTGGGCCTGGGATCCTGGCTGGTATGAACCTCAATGGCTCTGATCTTCGGTCTTTCTCCTCTCTGTTGTGCCACCTGAGTTCTTCCTCGGTTGTTCTGGAAGAGGAAGACCCACCTCGGCCACGCTTCCTGGGTTTTAGAGATGTTTTTCCTTTCCTTTTGTATGGCAGCTCTTTGGGTGTCTCAGAATCAGAAGATGATGGCTGAGGAGGGGGAGCAGAAACCCTTCGAGTGGAATGGCCTAGCTGAGTGGAAGCAGACGTTGATGGATGTGAGGGTGGGGATGGCTGAGTGGATGGTCGTAGCTTTGTTGAGGCAGGCTGAGTGGAAGTAGACGGCTGTGGATGTGAGGGTGGGGATGGCTGGGTGGATGGTTGTGGATTTCTTGAGGCAGGCTGAGTGGAAGTAGACGGCTGTGGATGTGAGGGTGGGGATGGCTGGGTGGATGGTCGTGGCATTGTTGAGACAGGCTGAGTGGCAGATGGGGGTCCAGAAGCCATTTCAAACTCAACTGCATCACTGAAAACAAATGTGGAAAAACAAAGAGATTAGATTAATTCACTGGCTTATACTTATAGGATAATATTGGACTATAAATGAATAATATTACACCAAATAAATAAGTAAACACATGTATATTCATTCACTGGCCATTCATTTAGAAAATGTAACTCCAAAAAGACAAGTAACCAGGGTTGCCAACTTTGGGTACCTGGCTGGAGTGAGATTTTGATATCATGGGTTTAATTACACATATGCAAGGCAAGGCAAGGCAAGTTTATTTATATAGCACCTTTCAACACAAGGCAATTCAAAGTGCTTTACAAAAAACGAAAGACATTAAGAAAATGGCATTTCAAATCAGTCATTAAAAAGAAAAGATAATAAAATAAACATTAAAAGAAAAAATACATGGATGAAAGTTACAGTGCAGTTTAAGATGTGAATAGTTCAATTAAAAGCAGCGGCAAAAAGAAAAGTCTTTAGCCTGGATTTAAAAGTAGTCAGAGTTGCAGCGGACCGGCAGGTTTCTGGGAGTTTGTTCCAGATATTTGGAGCATAATAACTAAACGCTGCTTTACCATGTTTAGTTCTGACTCTGGGGACAGAAAGCTGACCAGTCCCTGAAGACCTGAGAGATCTGGATGGTTCATAATTTAGCAGTAGGTCAGAAATGTATTTTGGGCCTAAACCATTCAGTGCTTTATAAACCAGCAGCAGTATTTTGAAATCTATTCTTTGACACACAGGAAGCCAGTGTAAAGACTTCAGAACAGGAGTGATGTGATCCACTTTCTTAGTGTTAGTGAGGACTCGAGCAGCGGCGTTCTGAATCAGCTGCAGCTTTCTAATAGATTTTTTAGTGAGACCTGTGAAGACACCATTGCAGTAGTCGAGTCTACTGAAGATAAAAGCATGGACAAGTTTTTCCAAATCCTGCTGTGACATTAGTCTTTTAATCCTAGATATATTCTTTAGGTGATAGTAAGCTGATTTAGTAACAGTTTTAATGTGACTGTTGAAACTCAGGTCAGAGTCCATGACTACACCTACATTTCTGGCTTTATCTGTTGTTTTGAACATTGCAGACTGAAGCTCAGCGCTAACTTTTATACGTTCTGACTTGACTCCAAAAACCATTACCTCAGTTTTATCTTTGTTTAATTGGAGAAAGTTCTGACACATCCAGTCATTGATTTGTTCAATGCACTTACTCAGTGTTTGAATTGGAGCATAGTCTCCTGGTGAAATTATTACGTAAATGTGTGTGTCATCTGCATAGCTATGGTAACTTATTTT